CTGTACCTAGGGGATTTCCTCATTATCATAGTCGGTTCACTCAGGTTCAAAACCGCGAGCCATTTGTTGATCGGGAGGACTGATTAGTTAGAGATTTCTGATGAAGAGCAGATACTAAATCAGGCTCTCCTTCTAGCGCCAAACTGTTGATAATTGATTCTGACACCAACGACTCGCAAGTGTAAAGTGCTAAACGGACTTAGAAATTACACGTGATAAAGAGAAATGAAATAATGCAATGAATAAGAAACGATATTTAAAATGGTTCAGATGCTCAAAAGCGAATCCTACGTCCACTGCTATTGGATTAATAGATGGGTAAGATCAGGTCGCGTGCAGCGAGCTGAGTTATAATCTAGAGAGAATACAAAAAGAGAGAGAATGTGTAAGCTATTTTTGACTAAGATTAGCCAATCCCGCAAATGAGAGGGGTATCCTCTATTTATAGTAGGAGAGTCTAAGGTAATGATTACAAGTCTTGCAAGTGGGTCGGTGTCGTGTAAATCCTTCTCTGCGTCCCATTGGTGGTCTACACGAGAAATATCTTCAAATTGCGTAGTGCTTGGGCAGGTGGCTAATTCCTAACCACTCACAAGCTTGATACTCACCTACTACACTAATAAGAACCATGCCACTTATGTTACTGCACGACATGATAGCACCTGGACAGCACAAAACCTTCCTGACCCCTGATTGGCTCTTGCTGACGAGAGTCCATGTCAACCCTAACTTTTCAGGCATAACATAATGTGTCATCTTCTATATCATTATCATATAATTGTAATCATATTATAACAATAAATTAAATCAATATTACACTAATCTGTCCATGATTTAACCAAACCCACAAAAGGCAAATAAATTATTTTACACAACTTCCCTTTTTGCTTGGTAGTTCAACCATATGTCAAATTGGAAGATTCTGGTAGTTATTTTTGCTCTATATGTGCGGTTAAATTAAGCTTTTATAGGTTAAATTTATTCCTTAATTTGTCTTTCAATTGGGTTATCAAGATACAATGAAATTGACTTAATTTGTAATTAATTATACAATAATGATGATAGTAAATCCAAGCAAAGATCTGCCAAAAGTTAATCAAATAAGTAAAAAAAAGAAAAAAAAAACATACAAGAGACATCAATTGGTCAATTTTATTTGTTGTGTCAATTTGGTGTATCAATAATAGAAAGGTCAATTCATGGAGAAATAAAAATGTTGACAAATGAAAAATAAAATCAAAAAAGCAATCTAATGACAATCCCTTTATACTTTTCTTTGTTCACTATAAAATGGTGAAGTATTGTCACCAAGATTTTCTCTCGATTACATTTGTAAGATCCTGCCTAGAGCTTGACAATTGACATGATAAAAAAATTAAAAAAAATTAAAAGTTTTAATAATGTGATGACAATGACTTTAATCAAAATTTAATAAAGAGTTATTATCTCTCGTACCCCTCTTAAAGTTTCGAAAAATATTAGCAAGACCCCTAAGATATAAGATTTTATCAATAATCTTCCCTCAGATTTGGAAAAATCATTGTTTATCTTCCTTCAACTATGAAATCGAACAATCAAAATTAGGGTTTTTGTTACTCACCCCCTTGAGAGATGATGAAATATCAAAATCCCCAAGGGTTCCGCAAAAGTATTAAAAAAAAATAATAATAAAAAAGTAGAAAAAAAAAAAAAAAAAACCCTGAAGAAATTATTTGATGGTGTTGACTTGAAAAATGACATCTTCACGGCAAGTCATTTTCGGAGGGTTTCTCAATACTTTCGCAAAACCCTGAGACAATTTAATATTTCCTCACCTCTCAAAAGTGGGGATATTAAAATCCCATCAAAATTAACATGGTTAGTGAAGGTAAGTGATGATTTTATGAAAAGTTAAAGGAGGTAGAAAACGATTTCTCATAGTTCTAGGGTCTTGCATAATTCCTTAAACTTGAGGGGAGGTCAGAGGTAATAAACCAAAGCTAAAACCCATATAAAAAAAGGTAAATAAACACGAAGTTATTATAATAATTAAGGGCAATTTCAAAGTTGGAAGTGCTTTTTTTTGTGTGTAAAACATCCAATGTTTAGGAATAAATTTTATTGGAAGATAACATCATTTCATTGGGAGTTAGTGAGTGAATAAGTGAGTGCCTTGATACTTAAGCAAATCTTTTAGGTCCAATGTCCATTATCTACTAATTAAAAGTGATTATTGTCGAAGGGCTTAATTATTTTATTATTTTAACCGACATTATGTTATAAATTGTAAACTTGATTGAGATACGATAAGATTCTCTTGCATGCTTTTGTAGACCTACCTTTTAACTCATTGTCGACAAGCACTTGTTTTTGCTATCAAATAACACCAAATCCTTATATAAAATAAAAATACAAAAGAAAATAACCCATTTAAATTCTTCCAAAAACATTATCTCATTGTGGGTCAATCGTGTTTTTCAATCTCTATTCACATAGAGTTATGAGAAAAGAGAAAATAATGCATACGTCATGTTTTTGAGGGTTAAAAGGGTTATTATCGTGTAATTGTGGTGCTGCTACATTACTAAGAATATGTGATGAAGAAAGTATTCTTGTTTGAAGTCTCAATCCACATGAAGTTTTTTGAAAAGAAAGAATTCATATGTGATGTTTCAGAGGGTATGTGAAAAGAGAATGATTTATTCATAACGTTTATGAGGTTTATGAAAAGAGAATAATTCATACGAAATGTTTTCGAGGGTAAAATGGTCATTATTGTGGATCATGCGATCTACATGCGATACAAAGAATATGTGATGAAGAAAAAAAAAATATTGTTTCAAGTCTCTATTCACATACAATTTTCACAAAAGAGAAAATAATTCATATGTGATATTTACGAGGGTAAAATGGTCATTGTATTCGATTGTGTGGTAACACGTGCAATATTAAGAATATATGGTGAAGAAAAAAAAAAAAAAAAAAAAATCAAGGCAGGTGAGGTGAGAGGGGGACAAGGTGGAATATCTTTAATCATTTCTTAGAGGTGCCTAAATCATACTTTTTGAATAAGACTTTAAAATTATGCTCTTGCTTTGGAGGTTACCAGGCATGGAAGGACTACACTGATAATGGCATGATGCGTTTGACTTTGGAGAGATTTCTATTGCTTAGTGGACTCCTTCTTATAAAATAAATTCCACAAGATTCTCTCTCTCTCTCTCTCTCTCATATATATTATCTTTCAACTCAGTCAAGTAAAGTGTATCTTTTTCCGTAGAAAGTTAAATGGGGTTTGCGATAAATTCGACATATCAAAATCTAAGTGCTCTTGCTCACACAAGCCATTGAATGAGTTTATCACATCATCTGTAAGTCATAAATGTGATTTTACTAGATAAATAAATGAATAATGAGATACATACATTTTGAAGAATATTGATAATAGTCGATAAAATGTGTAAAGTAAGGTGTTACAAGTTGGTACCTCTCATGAGATCTTTGTAGAACATGAGGGCCCTCATGAAGCTTTATTGCCATGAAATTGGTAGGTACAAACAAACAAGAAAGCATGGCCTACAAAAAAACAAAACATGCTCTTGTCACAAGTAGAGAAGAAAGCTAGAGTGCAGCAAATGACTCCAAAACATCAGATCAAAGTCATTGCTTCATCACCACCTCAAATTTTGTCCCCTCAAAGAATCCCATGAGCCCATTATGAGATTTCAGTTCATCAAACCATGCACCACAGAAAAGTGGAGCACATTTGATATCCTTAACATGAAAGAAACATGGAGTATCTCTCTAGTTTTGGACCACTTAAAAAGCCCATCTTCTGCAGGATTGTAACTTTAGCCAGTGCATTTTCCAGTTTCTTCATAGATAGCATGGGCTGAAAAAGATTGTTTCTCAGCAGCACCATTCACCAAAAGTTCATCTTCTAGCTGATATTGGATGCCCGCAATTGACTAATCTTTCCAGCAAAGCAAGAAACGTGTACACAATTTAGGGCAATAGTTAAATCCCAAATTTTGAACTAAAACACAAGTTGATTTAAAAGCAATCCATATCCATTCCCAAGCTAAACTAAAGGTGAAAGTGCTTTTGACTAGTATAAAACTCACTATGTGGAAAACAATCTAAACGGCGCATGATATAAGCTTTTAGTGTCCACCCAGTACACGCCGCAGCAACTGGAGTGTGTGCCCATAATCATTATATAAACATAAAGATGGTGTAGAGTGTAGTCTTCAATAACATTTGGCCTACTTGAATATCCTAAAAGGGTGCAACTTTTGACATTCGGTCTGCTTGAATATGCAAAAGAGAAAAGAAAAAAATGTACATTTATGCTTATCCCAAGCCGCCAATTGTATTTTAATGTACTTACTAGAAGCGCCTAACACACGCAAACTACAATCTGAAAACACAGCAGTTAAAGGGGCCAATCAATAGAGACACATGTTATCATGTTTCATAAGAAATTTACACAAAAACTCAATAGTCAATAAATTAGGTTTAAAACCAGTGAAGGGATATCTAACTATTTGTTGAAATAAACACATATGACCACAAATCGTTGAGATAGGGATTACAGTACAGAACATTTGTAATATGTGATGTCTGATTGTAGAAGTGAGGCTTCTGATATATGTAAAGGCTTTTGATATAATGGCAAATGACTAATGCACTTGCTATATGATGAAATATCTCCATTGCATTCTATGCGCCCATAAATGTCAATGCGAGAGCCTGCCTTGAACCGTAAACTTCAGCAACCATGACAATAAAAGCAAAAGCTCGCTGATTTTAAACAATTAGCATCTGTTGAGATGAACAAAATCCAAGGCGAAACAGCAGCTTAGTTTTGTGGTTTACTTCTGTATTGATGCTAACTAAACCATGTTAAAACAAAAGGCATTGAAAATCAACAGAAAATTATGCCAAATTCACTCAGTAACATAATCCACCAGAAGAACATGTCACCAAAACGGAATAAAAACCAACAATTAAAAATTTACTTATTTTCTTTGGCTTTTCCCTCTTCCTTCATTTTCTTCTCCCACCGGCGCTTCTTGTGGTCTAACAACATTTCCAGCATTTTCCCCATCCACTTTGCAGTATTTTCCCTTTTCTCTGCAGCTATCCGATCAACCTTGTGTCCCTTCCGCCCGGTTCTCATCTCTTTCTTCTCAGGATCATAATGCCAATCTTCTCCTGCCGGGAGAACCTCCTTCCACAGTCTAGCTCTACTACGAGCACTAATGCCAAGGGGCTTCCATGCTCCCAGGTGCCAGTAACCCCATACACCATTAAATAATTCATCTTTGTATTTGGCCAATTCCTCCCACCACAGATACTGCAGAACTAGCAGCTTCAGCCGCCATTAACTAACTTCTCAACACTGTCCACACAAGACGAGAATCACACATTAATCCATTTGTACAAAATTTGCAGTGTTTATAAAGAAAAAATAAATTCGAACATTTTCTGCAGCTTTAAAATCACTAAGTAAATTCTACAAACGACAAGTAGGCACAACTAACTAGCAATTAATTAGTGAATTTCTTTTGGAGAAAAATTCAGTATTGCAATTTCATTATCGAACTATTAGCTTCAATAATTTATGTAAAAATTAAAATTGGGTTTCACAAGTTCTCAACTCATATATAAAGAGAGATCAAGATGTGAAATTGCCAAACTTATTGAAGAAGATAATCCACCGGCAGAGAACGACGTGGAACCGACGAGCTCAAGGACCGGCTTTATCGTGAACCGTATGGTTGGGCGGCGACGGCGACCGGATTTCGGCAAAGACAACGGCCAGTGATTTGAAATTTCAGTGAAACGTTAGGGCAGAACAATCTCGCGCGATCTAGGGTTTCTGAAATTTCCCTCCATACCAAAATGACGTCGTTCCACAATATGAAAACGGATCAACTTTCAGTCCCTATATTTTATTAAGATATCGTAACCCCAAGTGACATCTTAAATTACCATATACCCCCAAAGATAATTTATAAAATCAATTTCATCCAAATAACATAAGAAAAATATTTTTTTATTTGAAGCTGTCGAAGTTAAGGTTCAAGAAACATTATCATCCTTTGGTACTAGCAAATGCAAATACAGCAATGAATAAAATTTTATCATATGGTGAAAATGGCAATATTGCCTCATGAAAAAATCAACTTTGCCTCTCATATTTGACCCGCTAACAAATGTATTTGTTACTACAGAACCTACAGCTCTCATCAAAAAATTATATTCACAAAAATTGCAGACTGCTATGAGGGAAAAGTAGGGGAAGCCAAAATTTTTTAGTGGAACAAGCGTCTGTGTGTCCGTCCAATCACAATGTGCCATAATAGCATGCATGGTTCGCCTGCACATTGCTATGTCCCACTGAAGACTTTCTCTCGAGGAAAAAAAACCTGCAACTGGATAATAAATAACAATGAAAGCAGAGAATAGAACCGGAGGTGAATAATGCATCCTAGTGAGATTAATGTCCTTCGACATTTTACTTGACTTCTCAACATTCAAAATCTTCTGGTTCTAGTTTTCTGTCTCCTCGTTCATGATCTTCTTCTTTCAGCTTTTCTGTTTCTTCCGGTTGGCAGCAGCAGCCTCTTCGCGCGATCTTTACAGTTAAAACAAACAAAACATAAGGCTAATGATAAAATAATCCAAAGCATATTTATAATCACCATATTACACAAAATAAAGTAAAATAAAATAAAAAAACCAGCCCACAACAAGAAGGTGATGCTTCTTCTGTCAAATCAGATGATGCTAACAGGTGTTTTTGACTCACAAGAGACTATGTCGTAATCTAGGTTTTGGCTTATACACATTATAAAATTGAATACAGCAACGAGTACACTAAATTGGATTTAGGGACCTCTGTCCTTGTGGCCGGATGGCAAACCCTTTGGCCTCTAGGGTTAGCTATACCTAAAGGTCTTGTGTTCAAGTTACGGGAGAGGCACCTACCACATTTGTATAATTACCTAGATCCATTGGGCTTCTACAGTGTTCCATGGCCTTAAGGATTAGGCAGGCTAGACTAGCATTTGTGTCAGATACCTCAATTATTAAAAAAATAAAAATGGAATTAGGGCTTTATGGGTTCCCAAAATAATGACTGAGGCAAGAGAGACCAGATTTAGACTAAGGAAACATTGACAAAATTTTTCTTTTCTTATTACAGATGTAGAAGCCATCCAGTGCACATCAGAAATGTGGGCTAGAAAGACTTTTACTGTCAGTATTTCAACCCTGGGTAAATAATGCTGCTTCCCAAGACAATTCGTGCAAATTAACCAGCACTGTTTTGAGGGATAATCAATCAACTTAAACCAGTGAGATATATTCTGAACAAAAGATGGCTAAAATTTTAGAATTCAGTGGAAAATAACAAGGTACTGTGTTGAAGATTTTATAAATTAATGAGAAAAAATCTAAAAACACTAACTACCCAGCAATAATTATATCACAACCCAAAAGAAAGTACAAATCAAGTGCACCTTGCAGCTTCAACATACCTTTTTGGTGGTCTCCTTCTTGAATCAATGTTAATACACGATGCTAGCTCTTCTATGCTCATGATATCCGAGGGATTAAATTTCAATAAATTGCAGCCATTGATAAATGATGAAGGCTCAGCTGAGCCTGGAATATGTGACAAATCCTTAAACTTCTGCTTAGAGTATTCCATTAAAATGAGCCCTACATAAAATCAAACAGAAGATTAATAATCAGAGAAATTTCAAACTGACAGTCAAACTCAACCTTCCATGAAATCAGAGAAGTTTTTGGCTACAGAGCACATTCAGCTATGTGATTTTCTAAATCATAAATTAGGTAGAATTAATTGCTCTTGGAAATATAAACTATCTTCAAAACAAACTCATAATTGAGTATTCTACATTCAGTCAATCGTATAGCTCTGCTTTATTGTTATATAAAGAGAATTGTGGGAATAGAGGAAGCGCCAGACTTAGAGTTAGGATCCAATAGAGAAAGACAGAGAGGCTGTAGGGGATAGGGCAAAAGAACCTTTCAATGGAGCTAAGCTCCATCTTTCGCCTTCGATACAATACATCGCTTAAAATAGCTTAATTTGCACTAGGGTTAAGCTAATAAAGTTTTTTTTATATTGTTGTATAGAAGAAAAAAAAAAACAATTCAAATCACATATAAACAATGCATAACTTATAACAAATAACTACTCCATTAATTTGCACAACCAGTAAACCCTATAAAGCAAAAAACATTCCATGATACAAGTTGGGAAAACATACCAAGAGCTCGAAGCATCTTCAAATCAAATTTCTCAGCCAATTCTTCATGGCCAATTATTTTCGCCCGTTGCAAAACCAACACTTTCAAGCTAATTAACATATCCTGTCAAACACATTAACAAATTTCATGAAACCTGAGCAAGTTTTCAGAAGAATTAGAAAATACCCAGATATAGATTACAATGATATTGAAGCCTGGGGTTCTAAAGGAAACTTTCACCATATGATATGAATCATATGACCATTAAAGGCATGAAGAAGACCCTTTTGAATATTAAAAAAAAAATAAAAAAATAAAAAAATAAAAATTGAAAGCTATTTAAGAACTTACAAGCTCAGATTCAGAGAGGGAACAAAGCCAAGAGACATCTTCGATCCTATTTTCACTTAAAACTTCCTTTATCTCGTTCAAGTCCATGCCTCTTTCTGTCTCGGCTGCGCGCTCTGGCCTTCAGGTAATCAGGTTTATGAGTTACAAATTTAGGTTGCGGTGTTGAATTTTTTAAAAAGATTAATTACAAGGACCCCCCAATATATACTCTGGGCTCTAAACAAACCTATTACTTTATAAATTATGAAAACACCATCTCAAGGGTTCTTTTGTAATTTCCTATTTCTAATTTAATGGGGTTTTCCTAGTTTCCAAAAATATTGATTCTTTTTTGTTTTTAAATAAAGAAATAACATTGAATCAGTTATTTTATAGAATTTCATATACGATTATTTATACTATTCCTACTAAGCTTAGAATAAGGTGAAAGAATAATCTTAGAATTGCCACAAAAATGAGTTATTTAAGCCAATTTTGTCACATCCCATGTCACATAAGTCTAGTATTTCTTTATCTAAGTGATGTTATTTTTTTGTTTTTTTTGTTTTTTTTGTTTTTTGAATGACTAGGGGTGTTCGGGCCAACTTACGCGCAACTAAACTAAACTAATCCCCTAGAATTATCGGTCAGATAAGAGCGTCAATGTCTACCCTTATTAGCAATCGAGAAAACACTCGAATTCAGGATCTTTTGAATAATACGCCAAAAGTATCTATCGAATCCCTCAATTATCCAGAGGTAGTTCAAGTGATGTGTTTTGCGTGAAAGACACTTAGGTGAAACTCAAAAATACATGAAACTCCATCCAAAGTAGTGGTTAATTCTAATCAATATGGTAGAATAGACTTCAAAAAAAAATATATTTTTTTTTATGTAGAAATCGAAGAGATCCAATTCAAAAAAAAAAAAAAAAAAAAATCAATAGAAAGGAAAATCTTTTTGTATTGGTAAAACTCTTTCGATCAAAAGTATATCACGCAGAAATCACAAAAAGGGATACTATTGTTTTATCAAAAATTGATGGAAAATATGCTTCAGAACTCAACTCTATAGATGAAAAATGAATCAAATAATATTGAAGATAAATAATTAACTATAGTCCTCAAGAAATCCAAAAACATGTAACACCCTTTCAAAACAAGCTTCTATGTGCCAATTATTTATATATAGGGCTGTTTGTAACAGATCTTTGTATCAATATTTTTCTTTGGTGCAACTGTCCTCTGAATGCTTGAACTCTTGCATCTACTCTTGCAGAGAATCCAATTTGAGTCATTATCTGAGAGTTGTGTTGTTCCCTCAGCCATATTTGGTTTTCTGTCACATCTTTCCGGTAATATTTCATTTCTTGTATGACGTGATCGTCCATAGGAAAGAACGATCGTTGAATGGCGATGTGTAGGAAGTAAGGAAGTAGCGAAACGATCACTACCAGCAATGTGACCATCCAGTATAGTGGTGCAGGTCCAACAGCCTCCAGGAGGAGATGAAATGTGCGGTAGGAGTAGTCAGGTGGGAGCGCGCCATACAGGAAGAGGAAAATGTACCACAACAGGATGCTACCCCAGATGAATAGATGTTGAATCCAAGTGAAGTGAGTGATTACAAGCGCCATTTGGCAGTTGACAGTCCAGATTATGCAGGTGTATGTGATTGCACCAAGCTGTGCAATATCAGAAACCTGTCCGTTTTCCCGGAATGCAGTGGGGGAAAGAATGTATATATTGGATAGGAAGATTACCAGAGAAGCAACCACACCGTTCAATATCCAACCAATGATCCGGCTCCAGCTGAAGTATACATTCTTTTGGCCTTGTCGGTAAAGGGCTGGAAACTGTTGCATTGCAGAATGAAATAAATTTGCAGTGAGAAGCTGGAGTTGTCATGACAATACCACATCCATGCTGTGATGTTGTGCTTGTGAATTGTATTCGGAAAGTCAGAGTATGCTAAAAATGTACATTTGTGTGCATGAGCGTGTGTGCGCATCATCAAATTTCTTTACCTGGAGGCATAAATCTGAGGAAACATCCTGCTCAAAGACTCCTAATGATATAACCGGTAAGGATGTCAACATTACATTGAACATTACCATATACCAATCATCATATAAGACCTCTCCGGAGAAACTTGTGTATAATTCATAGTAGAATAAGGTGAGGCCAAATGCAATGTTCTTGTATACAAAATAGAGAACCTACATTGAGAGCCAAATAACCAAATCTTGAAGTAAGAGAACCAGGAATGTTCATTTGCGTATCAGGTAAGTAAAAGTTTACCATCTTGGAGATTCTCTTGTAACACCAATGTCCATGAACTATAAGCAGTCTTTCTAGGAAACGGAACTGTGGTAATGAGAAGTCGCTAGCCATGACCGCCTGAAAGTTATATTCCATGAAAATATTCAGTGATGTCGGGAAGAGCTTTTTTTTTTTTTTTTTTTTTAATGTAACATCCCTGTTGACAGATATCTATTTCATTATTGACTCAGAAACGACCATGGAACCTAAGACATTGAAAACATGATAAGACTCTACAAGATAACTGAACATTAGATTCTAATATATGAAGTTTAATATGAGTGTCGTAGCAAGGGGTGCTAGAGTAGATGGCGATTACCCGAGTCAAATAGCTAATACCAGCATTATTAGGTCAAGAAAGTGACCAAATGGAAGCTAAAAATGTCTTCTATTCATTGGATTGAGGCTCAAGATTTGCTCCATAAGAACTGCTGAGGCCTTGGGCATCTTTTGTGCAAAGAGTTGGGAGTTTTTTCATGATTTTTGTTTTCCTTTTCAGCTCAACGCAAATTAAGGAAGGACTTTCAAACAAGAATTTAGAAGCCAATTACTATTGAGGTTACCTGCATTCCTTCCATGCCACTGATTCCAACTCCAATATCAGCTTCTTGAATCATGCCAACATCATTTGCTCCATCTCCTATTGCCAAAGTTGTCTTGCCCGTATATTTTTTCACCAATCTTGTGATCTGAAAGTGCTAATTCTATTTGACTAACTCATACTTGAAATACAACTTGTGAAACTGTAAATTCATTATATTTAGAACAAAAGGATAAAAGAGTTATATACTTTAAAGCCAGCCAGATGAAATCATCTTGTTTTTCTGATGAAAAACTAATAGCTCATTAGTAGAAGCAAATGCATTGTTTTCGAAACTCGTTTCAACATATATTAGTTAATACATCAGTCTTCATAGGTTATCAATATTCTACTAAATTAACTCAAGTTTTGGTGGAGAGAAAGGATAACGGTTTACCAGAGCTTTCTGTTTAGGGGACACACGGCAGCATATAACAGAAGCACAGTTAATAGCCAATTGTAAGAACTGGTCCCTCACATCATTTCTCAAAGCAATTTCAAGAGCTTTTCCATCTATCACCAAGGAAAAAGGTGAATCCTTATTGCTTTCTTCACACATCAGTCGGTAAAAGCTTCCAATTTTTTCTAAAACTTCTGCTTTCATAGCCTGAAAAACTAGGAAAAGAAATCATATTATTACCAACTCAATTGTTGATCCATCATGTGGTTTTTCGCCAGAACAGAAAATGAAACAAGAACATCCTAAAAAGGCTAAACTTATCATAGTTTCTTTAAGTTGATTTTCACCTGCAATTGGTTGTTAGACTCAACTTCTTTGCTCATACTTATGTCAAATTGTTTCATATCCTGGCGAAGCAAGCTGCACGCAAATCTGCCATATGCGAAGAAAAACAATACAAGAGAAACCAATAGAGCATTTCAATTAAAGATGATAATATATCCTCAGTTTCTCTCATTCTCAATAGAACTGCATAAATCTACAAGCTTCAAAGTTTTACGAGCCTCACCCAATATTTATCGCGGTTTCCTTCTTGTCACCGGTGAGCAGCCATATTTTCAGCCCAGCTTGAGCAAGCTTATCAATGCACTCTGGAACCTGATACATATGTCAATGAAGCATCATCAAATGTAGGAAACATATCCTTCGGGTGAAACAATTGAAAAAAATTGCTGAGTGTATTGCAGCATATCACAGTAAACTTCACGGATAAATGTGGCATTTTTCTGATTATGAAGCTGAATAGAATGTGAATTTCTATGTTGGTTTGTCACCTATGAACTAAATGTGAGCCTAAATGATCCTCAACTTTTATCTGTAATTTACACAGAGAGAGAGAGAGAGAGAGAGAGAGAGATCTATACAAACCCCTTTCTGTAACTTGTCTTCAACAGCGGCTACCCCAAGCAAAATCAGATCTTTTTCAATCATTTCTGATGCTTTCTCTAGTAACTCCTCCCGTTGAGGACCTACTGTAGTTTTAGCCTTTGTGAATATCAAGTTCCAATTTTGGTATTCACTCTCCTCAAGTTTTCGATAGGCGAAAGCTAGAGTACGTAAACCATCTTCTGCATAACTTGAAAGGTGAGAAGTTGTTTCCTGCTGGTATGACCTACCGTTTTCTCCAAGCCTGCTGAATATAATGCTGTAAAAAGAATCGAAAAGTAAAAAACAATGAGCCTGGGAAAATCAGGAAGAGCCCAAATCTTAGCATTTTAAATCATACAATCTTGACGATTAGGAACTTGGTTTAGATGGCATACCTGTCAGCCCCTTTGCAAAGGAGAAAGATCTGTCCATCTTCATCACTTACAATTACCGACATCCTTTTCCGAGAACTACTGAACTCTAACAGATTTAAAAGCTTGTACTCCCTGTAATGACCTTGATATCATGTGTAGGAATTAAAACGTATCAAACAGAACAAGCCGCTTGAATGTAAAAGAAGAAAATACCAAAATGGAAACGGAGTTGTTGGATAATTTACCTCTCCATCTCCTTTCCGGAGGAAGGATCAACTTCCTTTAGAACCATTGTGGATTGAGCTCTTCGACAAAATTGGAACCCGAACTCTTGTGAAGCAATCAAGAAAGCAACTTCTTCTGGTGATTCTGCTTCATATTTTAGCTTATCAGTATGATCATCTTCCACAGGTATGCCTGTGTGACATAGAGCCATGACTCTGAAGAACATTGTCATGTCATTTGAGTTCGATTTGTGAATCCAGTTATTGTTCAGTAACCTGTCATCCCTAAAGTTGAAACCCTTTATAAATGTTTCTTTCCTGACATTAGAAATCTTTGAGTTTTCAAGAATTGGAATAGCCATGTCTTCATGGCCACCTGGAGCAGCCTTTTGAGCATTAATATCAGCCACCGAGAACTCAAACATTTCGTAGCTTTGACTTGTTGTATCAGAATCATTAACACTAAATCGATATGCCTCGACATCAGCATTCATTCGTCTTGATGCTGCAAGATCAACTTCATTTATGTCACCTCCATAAGAAATTCCTGCAATTGAACATTTCCTGAATTCCATCTGGTTACAAGTCAAGGTCCCCGTTTTATCTGATAAAATCATTTCTACCTGACCCAGTTCTTCATTCAAATTTGAAGTTCGTGCTTTAACAGACTTACATGTCACCTCATCATACATTTCTATATCCTTGTTAATGAGCATAGCTTGTAAAACTTTCACAACTTCTATGGAAACATACAGAGAAATGGGGATCAAGTAGCCATACAATATGAGGGCCCTGATGAACTGCAGGATAGCTGATACTACAGGATTTGATGGATTGAAATATCTGTCATCATTTTGCAGACGAAGATACCACCACTTAACCATGTCATATTTCAAAACAAGAGCAGAACCAATGGAGCTAATGAATGAAATTAGTACCAGTATTGAGAAGAGAAGGTAGATGATATAATCCATCTTTCTTTCAATCCGACTACGCTTAGATGGTGATCTTGTTGAGTTTCTTACTGCTTTTGTATCATGTCCACTAAAGATTACTACTCCATAAATGTAATCAGTGTTTCGAAGTTTCGAATCTCTTAAAAGCACCTGGGCAGGACACAAGGGATATGATCTATTTTCAAACTCTAGATTCCCCACAAAGGTGTAAAGATTTGGATTCGGGTCCTCACAACGAATACTAGCTTTGAATCTAGTGAATTCCTTCTCCTCATTTACACCAAGTGTGGTTTCTAAGCATCTTTTAATCTTCAAACTTGTTTCTCCATCAAGGTTCATGGTCTCCACATAACAAACACCATCCTCGTAGCTTGAAGATAGAAGAAGGAGATCACTTGGAAAATATTCATCCTTACTAACTCTAACAACATCTCCCACACAAAGCTCTTTCCATAATTTATCCACAAATATCCCATTTCCTAAATGAGTCTTTACACTTCTGTTATTCACACTCAAATCCTGCAACAATGTTTTAATAGTATGGTTTACAAACACGAAAACACAATATAAACAATGAAAATGCTTCATCAAAAACAACTATTTTCCTCATAATTACCTGAAGAAACCTTTGCCAATCCTCCACTGCCTCTTTAAGCATGCTAATTCCGACAACGAAGACTAAGGGGGCGATCAAACTTGAGGGAGAATATGGAGCCAAATTAACAACAGATAAGCATGCTGTCAACAGAAAATAAAGATTGGCAACTCTGCGGAACTGCTCGAAAAGTGCTATGGGAAGAAAAGTCACAACATTGTACTTAGTTGTGGACACATAGTTGTTGGTGTACTTGAAAGGTTTGGTCTTGTGTAGTTGAGGTTCATTGCAGAAAACTACCCTGGAAAAACCCGGCTGACCAATAAGCTCCTGCACATCTCCTGTGTTTGCCCGGAAACACGAAAAAGAATACAATTTGCTCCATCTTAGCTTCCCCTTTGTTCTCCCAGAAGACTCCACCATTTCAACTGATTCTCCAAGATGTTAGACACAACTCTCATCAACAAAAGCACCTGAGTGAAAACACAAAACTCTGATTTCAATGATATCTGGCATCGTAAATTCGACTACCGTGTCACGATAAATAAACAGAACTACTCAAACTTGTCGTTTCTAGACTGTCTTTTTCTAAACTGTCCCTTCTATATTCTGTGTGATTCCATTACCAGACTTGCTGCATAGAGAAACTCCGAATGTTCAAGTTTCAACTTTCTCGGATCCTGCAGGCCTTTCATGAGCCATATTTTATGCATTAAATAATAATCCATTGGCAGGAAGCATAAGATTTTCCTCCCTTTATACTCCTTTCAAGATGTTCAAGTTACTCAAAATAATATACAACCCACATGGTACCTGCATTTTCAAGCAAAGCAAGTCAATTTAGTTTACTTCAAGAACCAAACTTTTATGCATGTTCAAACAGCATGGCTTGGCTCCTGCATAATTAATGATCCATCGTGCCACATTGCCACTAGATTCGAGAATTCAAAATCATTTTGAAGCATAAAAAATTAAATAAATATTCATAGAAGTCAACAAACCCACCATGTTCTTTAAACTAAACTATTGGTTTATACTATTCTAATATCATTCCATGGATCCCTCCATGGAATCTGATGAGAATCAGCTATTTCAAACGCATCTTTTGTCGTTTTTCGAAAATTCGAAAAACAGAAAGGGGAAAATGGATTTAGTATTTTGAAGATTCACGAATATGATTAACCACTTCCTTTGAAAACAACGAAAACGCGTTCATAATAGACAGGCAAAAGGACAAAACTTGATTGAATCAGGGAAATTTTTTTTTTTTTTTTTTTTTAATAGAATCTTGCCGGCCAGGCTCTTCAAAGTACACTTGTACAACTTGATTTGGTCTAAAGGACAACTTATTGGACATTGAATGTTCTTGTTGTTTTCATATGGTTAACAAAACTGGCCAATGGAAAAATCTATCGAAGGAGCCAAAGAGAACAAAAGGGAGTTTTTATTGATAACGTTAATCAAACAAAGTGGGTTGACTTTCTGCCGGTTCTGCAAATTGTAGCTTTACATTGAGTTCCCGAATTCCACCAAAAAAAAAAAAAAAAAAAAAAAAAAAAAAATTGACCTTGGAAGCATCGCATAATTTTTCCAGATGATGTCAAATTGCCAGAATAGGATGACCTTGACAACACTTGGCTTGTGCAGCCCTGCCAAACAATTAGATAAATGATCGAAAATTCTCAGGTAAAGACATGGGATTCGGATTGATTCTCGTGCTAATACTAATAGGAGTTAATTCTTATATACCAAAATTGATAGAAATTTGTATACGGTCAAAATAGTACTGAATTTTGCTCATCCTTTTGAATCTCTGACAACAGAACCTTGACAATGGAGGACTAACATTGAATAATGACTTTTGTAAAAGCTCCTAATTAGTACAAGTTTTGTACGAATTGTTGAACAAGGATGAACAGTTACTGATAAAAGTACTTTATACGATATTGTACCAGGATCATGGAATGACGATAACCAAACATATTATCCATGCGGAAATTGTTACGAAAAAATTTATACACGGAGAAACCAGCAGAAACTGGCACTAGTAAAATACGGTTACTCATGTACATCATTTAAATAAACAGTACTAACACTACAGCATTCTTGCTTAGATGAACTTTCAGCATTGACGGATAAATGATTCAATTTATTTAAAATTTCATCCCACCTCCCATTTCTGCAACTGGTAAAGTTCTAGCTGCCCACGATTCGATCCGATGTTGAGGGAAGGTGCTCTGTCCAGAGATTGCCATGAGCTGGTTCTGAAGTGGCACTATCACCAGATTCAGAGCAAACAGTCTTAGGCCCATCGTAACCAGTAAGAAAACTTTCGTTGAATACCAATGACGTCGAGTCTCTGACCAACCAAGAACTAGAAAGCTTGAGGTATCTGTTGTAGAGTGCCAGTGAAATGGCAGGATTTCTTCCGCTGATCCTGTGAATGAATCAATAAGTACACTTCAATGTTAAAAAATCATAGTTCCAACTCTCTACATTCAAAAAGTTTATAATGCAGAAAACTAATAAAGCCTACAAACCTTTCACTCCAATTTAGAACTTTATTCCACCACAGGAAAGCCTCCAGAAAATCTTTTTCCAATCTCCTCGAATCAATCAAAATCAAGCTCAAGTCTGGCATACAAGAAATCTTTGCATAAGGTGTCTCAGATACCCAAGGCTTTGATGCTGATCTCTGGATAGCGTCGAGTACGTCTGAATTAACATAAGTTTCTAAGCTTGAGCAGTCCTCGGCAGCTGCAATAGCATAATTGCTCAAGTCAACACCAGTTAGTTCTTCAACTTTCCCCTGCAACAAACTAAAATGTAAACAATGTAGAAAGTCTAACATGAGCTCAATGGCCAGGCAACGGAAAATCAAATTGATACAAGAAAAGACAACATAAAGAAGGAAATAGAGAGAGAAATTTCAAAGGCTGATCAGTTAATGTCTCAAACCATATCCAACAAATTGAGAGATAAACTACAACTATAATCAAGTACGTAATCTAAGGGACGGAGAGGACTAACCTTCACAATTACATTTGGTGAGATGTATATGAATTTACCCAAGAAGCGGTGAACTCTAGGTATAATGAAAGGCACTATTTCTTCATACTTGAATATAGGATGTTTTACCCCAGACATAGCAGTCCGAACCGCTTCTTTCACTTCTTCCTGCCTATAGTTTCACAACATTAGAATTAAGAGATGGACTTTCCTAGCGAACATATAAACAAAAGAAACAGCTTACCCATGAATCTCAAGGTTTGAATGTGGGAACAACACTTTCAACTTAAAAAAGGACACTTTGTCTTCATTCCCTTTTGGGATAAAGAAGTGAAAGTGAAGCAGGTTTGGATACCTGAACATTGAACAAGAAACAAGATTAAGTAAAAAGGGTAGAAAACTAACCACTAAAACCATACAGCAACCGGTGCAATCACCTTAAACTACTTGACACAATAAATAACCTAACGATTTAATACACAACACAACCAACTATAACTATAGATGTAATCACAGTCAAATTTGTCACCAAATGCCTAATTTTAGCACACTCTGCACCAGAACTAGATCATGTAAAAGATCACTGTGGTTCTATCTGAAATGTGGCAATCAGGTATAAAAGTAAAATCAATGGCAAGATCACAGTCTAGCAACTCTAAGATACAGAATTCGAAGAAAACTTTGAATAGTTTATAAGAATATCAAAATTCATGAATCAATCAAGAGTAAATCAATTATGTTGAAAGAAAGCATACTCTCATGTGCATTGTTTTTGCACAATAGACTTAAATCTAAGATAAGCCACAACAACATGCCTTTTGCCACTTGATACTGACAATAGAATTATTTACAATAACTTGGTTTGCCCTTGAATGACATGGACATTCATTTCCATAGACTTTAATTCACAATATATTTGTTAACATCAAATCATACGTGTATATGGCAAGTAAATTACAAAAGCTTAGTGCAATGAAGAGAAGCATCAACCAAGGGACCAAATTCTGATAAATGCATGCTAAACAAATAAGTTTTACCACAAGTACCATCATTACCACAGTCAAACATAATACACAGAATGTTTTGATGATAATCTGCCTGCTCAAGACTCTACTATCCGAAGAGAATTTGACATACTAAACTTTTACGGTGTTCATTATAAGAAATTTCTTAACAGTGGCAAGGCCATTGAATGAGTTTGAGTCATTCAAATGTGATGATAAACCGCTCTGAAAACTGAACTTCCATAAATTTATCAAACACTTATCATGCAGAATCACTCAAGTTGCAAGGCAAAAACATACAGGAAGCACTTTTATGAGCCACAAAACTAATCATTTATATAATTAACATTCGATTAAATTCAACCCAAACCTTGAGCCTGACAGAGTTGAGTTAGCAAGAACTGCAAGCATTCGAAGGTCCAAACACTCCATCCACGACACAATGTGCACAATTCCATCCTTTTGCCCATTGATTCCAGACACACCATCACTGAAATTCCTCGAATTAATTCTCTAAAAACACAATAGAGTCTCAGTACAATGCAAAATATTAACCCAGTAATATTACACCACCACAATGTTTCTCTACATCACTGCATGTACCCAGGAAATAGTTTCGAGTAGTGTATTCCTATACGATAATAATACGTAAAATACGTTAATTTTAACAAATGACATGGATTAATCATACAGGATGAGAAATCTGGAATAAAAAATTTATAATATCACTAAGAGTGCACAGCATTACTATATTTGTTTAATAAAGTTTAAGAGACAAATGAAGACTCAAATAATGAGAATTTGTTTGGTATTTTTAAATTGTTTTAATAACATAGGCTATTTTCTAATATTTTTAGAAAAAAGAAAAAAAAATTAGGATCCCGGGGGGGGGGCGGGGCGGAACGGAATTGCCCCTACTTGTCCCTTCCACCCTCCGTCCATAAACGTTATTCCATAACTTAAAGAAAAGGAGAAGTAACTTACAGAATCAACGGAGCTGAACGGAACCCAGTTTCTGAAAGGATCCGAGGGGTCTCGAAAATGGGTTGCGGGGAGAAACTGAAGGAGTCCGAGGAAGACGATGAGCCCTAAGGCGATCAACTGAAAGAGGGGCTTGGGAGTCGGAGCCTGTTCAATGAGGGATTGTTGGGGCCCGGAAACATCCGGACTCGGGTTGTCTGAAGGTTCAAGTTGTCTCCTTTGAGTTGCAGAAGACCAGGATGGAATGTACGAGGAAGAAGAAGACATTGACTTTTTTAGTATCTTTCTGTAAGCTGGTATGTGAAGAGCAATTTATATAAATGGATTATTTTATTATTTTATTTATAAAAAATTAATATCAACATAATCAAAATTATTAATAATCAAAATTTTGTTTGCATATAAAACGCCCTTGTATAAATATGAGAATTTTATTCAATATAATTTATTAAATATATTAAAACAACGATAAAAACTTCAATTGTAATATATATATATAAAGCCTTGCTTGGTTGATTGACATCTGACATATTTGGAGTTCTAGGATTGTTACACTTGGACTTCCAAAAGTGGTAGAATTGTCCTATTTTAACGTGTTGGATTGTGGTTAACACTTTGTGGAATTTTATTGGTGATGATGTAAGTTATTTTGATGTGTAGGATTTTTGGACATATGACTTAATGTAATTTGTTGTTGATACTTTTTATTATTAATAACACATATTGGCCATTCAAAGTCTAATTAAAACTTGATTAATTTTCACATGAACACAAACCATTCACATTCACATTCACATTTACATGTACATATACATTCACATATAAATGTTTCAAACATGTTAATCCCTTTACATTCGCCGTAATAAATAGTCCCTTTACATTCACCAAAATATCTATCTATATATTTATATAATCATGAAGCCCACCCTCTTTAGCGATCACCATTTGGACTCCACATAGGATTCCAGCTGGATTTTTTAAATTCCACGTAACCAACGGGATCTCTATGATTGGTACAGGTGTCTGGCCTATTTGCTTTGTAAAAACCGTTCACATTCGCATTTAATGTTCTGTGTAAATTTCTCACATCCACATCCACATTCACATTCACATTTAATGTTCTGTATAAGTGTTTGTGATTAATGTGTTAGGATGTGATTGATTGATAGTTAGTGAATATAATTAAAAGTTAAATGAATCATTCAACTTCAAATTAAAAGTTAAAATATGTATATATCTATATCACATTCTCATTAATACTAACCCTTCACCTTCCAAATTTTAATCATAAAGAATTTTATTCAATTAATGACATATTAATAAATTAGTAATTTTATTTTATTGGGCATTCCAAAGGTTTAATCCCTCCACAATCAGCTCTTAGATACAAATGCTTTACATTCGTATTCAATGTTCTGTATTAATTTCTCACATCCACATTCACATTAAATGCTGAAATTGTTATTTGGTAGAAATCTTTCACATTAATATGCATATTAAATGTTGAAATTGTTATCTGTTTGTTTATTGTTTAATATGATAAAAACTGGTAATTCACATGTATTTATTGTTTGCATATGTGAATGTGAAGTGGCCCATTTTTTTTTTTTTTTTGTGAAAGGGTATACATGCATGGATAGGTATGAATACTAATGGATTAATAACGTGTATTATTGATTTTTATGAATGTGAAAAGATGCATCGTATCAGTTGCAGTATTAACTATTTTGAATCCTCTATATATATGTCCATTATGTAATAGTTTGTTATACAATTTATCTAAAGAAAGACAGGTTTGTAATTCCTAATTCTTATTTATCATTGTTTTTTTTTTTTTTGGTTTTTCCAATTTATTATTAAACTTTTGATGCTAATAATTTATTCATTTCTCCACGCATTTTTAATTGGTTGGAATTTATTCGTTGTTGTATTGTTATAGTCCTGTTTGATTTCTCTATGCATCTTTTCCATCTTCATTTTCATCTGTTTTAGGAAAATCAAGTGATGATGACCTGCAAGGATTGGTATCATTCAACAATTTGAAGGTGAACAAGTGAGGATTTTTGCCATAAAAACGAATTCATTTTTAGTGATGAGAAAAGAAAACAAATATTGATATGTAGTTTTAATTGTAATTGTTCTATATCTTTTTATTGATATTTTTTTTATGTTACATACATAAATCATGAAAAAGGTTGTTGTTGAATATAACTAATTTTATTTGTTTAACAAATATCAACTGATGCTTGATGCTGAACCATGTAACTTAAGTAAACTATTTATAATATGTCAAACTATTATTATTATTCTGAAAAGAAAACAAATATTGATATGTAGTTTTAATTATAATTGTTATATCTCTTTTTGTTGATATTTTTTTATATTACATATATATCACGAAAAGAGGTTGTTGTTAAATATAACTAATTTTATTTGTTGAACAAATATCAACTGATGTTTGATGCCAAACCATGTAGCTTTAGTAAACCATTCATTTTATCATTACACATATTTCGGTTTCCACCGAACACTCAGTAGTAAATTGACCATAATTGCTCAATAAAAATCTAATTGTTTTGAACCTTAGAAACTAGACAGATAGGACTTTAATTTGTTATATTATAGGCTTAATTTTGATAATTATAGGCCTACTACAGAACCATTCATTTTATCATAACACATATTTAGGTTTCCACTGAAAAGTCAGTAGTAATTAATCATAACTCACTCAATAAAACTCCGACGGTACTTTAATTTGATATATTATACACTTAATTTGGATAATTGTAGCTCCATTACCGAATCATTCCTTTTATCATCACATACATTTTGGTTTCCACTAAACAATCAGTAGTAAATTAACCATAACTTGCTCAATAAAACTCCAATTGATGAAATGTCTGAATCTTTAGAAACTAGATGGACATGGCTTTAATTCTTTATCACACACATTTTGGTTTCCCCTACTTCTTGATTTTCACTGAACAGTCAGTAGTAAATTGATCATAACTTACTCAATACAGATCCAATTGATGAGAGGTTTGAACCCATAAAAACTAGACAAACAGAGCTTTAATTTGATACATTATACACTTAATTTGGATAACTATACATCTATTGTCAAATCATTCATTTTATCATATCACACACACACACACACACAAAAATCAATTTTAGTGATGACAAAGGAAAACAAATATGCATATGTAGTTTTAATTGTATTTGTTTTATCTCTTCTTTGTTTATATTTTTTATGTTACATACATATATCATGAAAAAAGATGTTGCTGATTATAACCAATTTTATTTGTATCATAAATATCATCTGATGTTTGTTGCCAAACCATGTGGCTTTTGTAAACCATTTGTAATATGTCGAACCATTATTATTATCCTTAAAGGAAAACAAATATTGATATGTAGTTTTAATTATACTTGTTCAATCTATTTTTGTTGATATTTTTTTATGTTACATACATATATCATGAAAAGAGGTTATTTCTAAATATAACCAATTTCATTTGTTTAACAAATATCAACTAATGTTTGATGCTGAACCATAGAGCTTTAGTAAACCATTCATATTATCATCACACACATTTCAGTTTCTACTAAATAATCAGTAGTAAATTGACCATAACTTACTCATTAAAACTCTAATTGATGAGAGGTTTGAATCTTTAGAAACTAGATAGACAAGACTTTAATTTGATATATCATACGCTTAATTTGGACAACTGTAACCCCACTACCGAACCATTCCTTTTATCATTACACACATTTCAGTTTCCGCTGAACAATCAATAGTAAATTGACTATAACTTGCTCAATACAAATCCAATTGATGAGAAGTTTGAACTTTTAGAAACTAGACAGACATGAATTTAATTTGATATATTATATGTTTAATTAAGACAACTTTAGCCCCACTTCCGAACTATTCATTTTACAATCACACACATTTTGGTTTCTATTGAACAGTCAGTAGTAAACTGACCATAACTTGCTCAATAAAAATCCAAGATGAGAGGTTTGAATCGTTAGAAACTAGACAGATAGGGATTTAATTTTATATATTATATGCTTAATTTGGATAGTTGTAGCCCCACTGCCAAACCATTCTTTTTATCATCACACTTATTTTGGTTTCCATTAAACAGTTAGTAGTTAATTGACTATAACTTGCTCAATAAAACTCCAATTGATGAGAGATCTAGACCTTTAGAAACTAGACCGGCAGGTCTTCAATTTGATATATTATATGCTTAATTTGGATAATTTAGCCCCACTTATGAACCATTCCTTTTATCATCACACATATTTCGGTTTCCATTGAGCAGTCAGTAGTAAATTAACCATAACTTACTTAATACAAATCCAATTTATGAGAGGTTTGAACGCTTGGAAGCTACATAGACAGGGATTTAATTTGATATATTATACACCCAATTTGGATAATTGTAGCCCTACCGTTGAACCATTCCTTTTATCATCACATACATTTTGGTTTTCACTAAATAGTTAACAGTAAATTGACCATAACTTGCTCAATAAAACTCCAATTGATGAGAGATCTAAACCTTTAGAAACTAGACCAATAGGTCTTCAATTTGATATATTATATCCTTAATTTGGATAAATTTAGCCCCACTTCCGAACCATTCCTTTTATCATCACACATATTTTGGTTTCCATTGAGCAATCAGTAGTAAATTGACCATAACTTACTCAATACAAATCCAATTGATGAGAGGTTTGAACCCTTAGAAACAAGACATACAGGGCTTTAATTTAATATACTATATGATTAATTTGGACAACTTTATCCCCACTTCTGAACCATTCCTTTTATCATCATACATTTTGGTTTCCACTGAACAGAAAGTAGTAAATTAACCATAACTTGCTCAATAAAACTCCAATTGATAAGAGGTCTGAATCTTTAGAAACTAAATAGATAGGGATTTAATTTGATATATTATATGCTTAATTTGGATAACTATAGCCCTACTGCCAAACCATTCCTTTTATCATCACACATATTTTGGTGTTCCCTGTTTCTCGATTTCCGCTGTACAGTCAGTAGTAAATTGGTCATACATTACTCAATAAAAATCCAACTGATGAGCGGTTTGAATCTTTGGAAACTAGAAAGATAGGGCTTTAATTTGATATATTATACGATGAATTTGGACAACTATAGACCTGCTACTGATCCATTTATTTTATCATCACACACATAAAACAAATTCAATTTTAGTGATGAC